AGACATATCTCAAACTCTATATTTTCACAATCTATCCTTAATTTCCATATGCGTAACTTTTTCAATTTAAGTCATTTGATTAGACACATTCTAGATTTTTTATATTTACGATCTATCTTCTAATTTTTAGATTCCTCTACTATGCTTTCTTCATTTTCTTCTTCTTGCATGAGCTTGTACTGTTTTTTAGGAGGCTCATCTTGTACTTTTTTTTTAGGAGGCTTAGGTTCTATTCTATCATCATCGTCATCATCATCTACTTCTCTTTTTAGTCTCTTATTTTTTTCATCCTTCAATTTTTTCCTTACATTTTTTTCTTAATTTTTTTATTAAGTATACTTAATGACAGTGGACTACTTCACCAAAATAGCTTAAACTATTTGATTAGAACATTCCAAGCTTCATATATTGATAATCTATGGTCTAATTTCTAGAAATGTGAAACTTCTTTATCTCTAATAGTGAGTTCCATATGAAACCTTGTTTAAAACTTTCAAGCACTTATATGATAATCTTTAGTTCATTTTGCCTTATTTAGAGCTTGCATAGACAATGGCAGTGACGGAGAAAATTGATCGACGTGTATAGCTTTGGTGTTTTGGCTATTGAGGTGCTTATGAAAGAGCATTTGGTGAATTAATATCCAATACCCAAACAAGTGGGTTGAATTAGATCAACTTGAAAGAGATTGTGACCCTCGTTTATCATCAACAAATTAGAAAAAACATGAAGAAATTGGCTTTGATTTGGCATCTAACTCTTTCATGCTTATAAGAAAATCCTCAATCTTGGCCAACCATGAGAATCTTTGCCTAGTTGATGGAAATGTAGAGTGCTCAAGAGACATGATTGGTGTCTGTTACTTTGTTTCTCTACAACTACAAGTAAAATAAGTGCCTAAAGTACATGTTATGTCTCATTTAGACATGTGCCAATGTCATGCGTTAAGAATTCTATTTTTCTTGATGAACGTGCATTGGTTAAATGCTGGTTCCAAAGTTTTTATTCCTTTAGTTGAGTTAGAAAAAAAGAACTTTTTCATGATTGAGTTGGGGATTAGTATTTGATTCAAGGGGAGGGGATAATGGAGAAAAAATAATTATAAATGGACAATTTTACCCTCATTTTATCAGTATTGAGATACTAGAAAAGTGTATCTGCATTTTTTAAACTTATTATGGAGGACATATTGATCAAGGTATGAAAATTTTTACCCCTCCCCTCCCAATCCCCCTAATTTAGAGGGGAGGATTTGGAAAGGATGGGAGGGGAGATTTTAAAATTTTTTCCCTCCACTCTCTTTTAATTTTTCAAACCAAACAAGTGAAGAGGGCAAAATCCCTCCCCTCTAACCAAACACCAAGCATTTGAATATTACATAATTTTCTTTTTCTCTTGTTTTTTTTTGAATGGTTGTGAATTTTGTTTTGGGCAACAATTTTTACTCTTTCATTGAGCAAAGATGGATTTTTTTTGGCCAAAAAACAAGTATTTTTTATTAATATTCATCACCAATAACTGAAGAAAAAAGAAACACTCAAAAAAGCCTAATGCTATGTTTGGATACATATGGATTTAGATTTGGATTTGAATTTAGATTTGAGTCAAATTCATTATTTGGGTAATTAAAAATATATGGATTTAGATTCGACCCAAATCCAAATCCAAGTTCTACCTCAATTTCTTCGTAATTTAAAATCCTTTCTAAACCCTATTATTTCAAATTCTAACTCAATCTCTTTTGTAATTTGACCTAAATCTACGAAGGCTTTATTAGCCTGCTAATGATAATTGAACTGGATCATTGAAGTTGATGAAAACAAACCACCACCGTTGATCGAGATGAAAGGCTAACGTTCACTGGGACCGGACCTACAGTGACGATCAGGATGAGATGATCGACTTCCACCAGGATTGAATAGGACCAGACTAATGACAATGATTGGGACGAGACCACTGGGGACTCGACGACCAACTTCCTTTAGGATCGAACTAACGACGACAACATGGATTGGACGGCCGACTTCCATTGGGACGAATAGACAGCGACAATTAGGAGTGGATGGCAGACTTCCACTAGAACTGGACTGACGGTGATTACCGAGACAGGACGACCAACTTCTAGTAGGACTAGATTGACGATAAAGACCAGGACGTGAAAATCAACTTCCAGTGGGACAGGATTGACGGCGATGTTGACGATAGGGATCAAACGGCCAACTTTATCCGAGACTGGATCAACCATGATGATCGGGATGAGACGACCAACTTCCATCGAGACGGACTAACAGTGACAATAATGATGAGATCAGAGATGGCTGACTTCCACTAGAACTTGACCTAACAGGACGGCTGAGTTCTATTGGAATCAAACTGACAGCAACCACCAAGACATGATGGCCAACTTTTACTGGGATTGGACGAACAGCTACGATAGGGATTAGACGACCAACTTCAACCGAGTCCCGTCTTGATGGTCATTGTTAGTTCGGTCCTGGTGGAAATCGATCATTCAGTCTTAATGATCTCCGTTGGTCTAGTCCTTATGGAAGTTGGTCGTTCGGTCCCTATCATTGCTATCAGTCCAGTCCCAATTGAAGTCAGCCAATCGGTCTCCATTATTGTCATCGATCTGGTTTTGGTGGAAGTTGGCCATCCGATTCCTATCTTCATGTTGCTTTGGTCTCGGTGGAAGTCAACTGTCACATCACGGACATCGCCAGTGCTACAGTCCCAGTCGGCTTTGACTATTTGATCCTGATAGAAGTTGGCCATTTGATCGACTTTGGCTAGTCGTCCAAGTTTCTTTTAAATTCAAATATATAATTTAAAATTTAAAATTTTTCTTTAGATCCAAACAAAGAATTTTGATATTATAATTTAAATTTTTTTATATCATCCAAACAAAGAATTTAAAATTTATAAATTTCAAAAATGAAATTTTAAATCCAAATTCTTAATTTAAATCCACCCATCCAAACACAACCTAAAGATTACAAGCTAACCCCAAAGAAACTCACCAAAAAAACACAAGCAAACTATAACAACATTTTTGGCAAAAAAAAAAAAACACTAACAACAGTGAACAGACTTATCAAGAAATTAAACCAAAATCCAAACACAAGAAAATAACAACAGGAAGACTACCGCTATGAACACTGCCGATCAAAGTAATAGTAATATTTAAATTTGTGAACCCAAGGAATAATGGACCTTAGGAATCATTGGGCTCTGAAAGATCATTGTCCATCTAAACTAACATATATATGTGTGTGTGTGTCAATTTTTTTTTGGTCATTAATATATTATATATATATATATATATATATATATATATCAATTGAAAAAGCTCAAGAGTACAAGAGGCCCGTCTATCTACATACAGGTTCAGATCTTGAACAAAAAATCAACAAACTCATCTTGCGTTCAGATTTTGCAAGAAATTAATCTTATGATTGTTGGTTGTAAGGATTGGCTACCAAAAAAAATAATTCATGACTAGTTAAAAAATAAAAAAATTGTGAAAGAAACTCAACAAAATAGCATATATTTCTTTTAAGGGCATGACTTAAGTATTTATTTTTAAATATTTAACACTCCATCTATTCAAAAATATAAAGGATTTTTTGAGGAATTAGATATTAAAAAAATATAAAGCATTTTTAATCTTTCAAAGTGTAATTATTACCTTTTTTTTTCAAAAGTGTCCCTATTAATGAATGACTTTACATTTATTGTGGAATATTTAATAGAAGTAAATGTGTGAAGATGGAGTTAGTTTGAAAGTAGATAACTATTTTATTGGGAGTGAGATTCAGTTAAAAATGCCTTACATTTTTGAACAGGGGAAGTATATTTTTATTCAATTAAGTGGTTTTAATATGTTAATAATATTAATAACAAAAAATTGTTATAGAATAAATAATTTATATATTAAACATATTGCATGCATATGTATTGATTTAATTAGAAATAAAATACCTCATGTTCATAAGACTAAGTATATAATTTTTTCACTTCTTTAAAACCTAATCCTTTTAGTTTATTAAATAAAGGAAAAATAAAAAGGCAGGGAGTGAAAGATATTTTAAAATAAAAATAAAAAAAGCACAAAAAAAATCAAAAGGAGGAGGTAAAGCAATAATTTAAGCTAAGCACATGTCAATTCAAATAAATTTAAAAAATTTTAGGGTCAGTTTTGAGAGTTTAAATTTTTTTTTTACTTTGAGTTTATTCAGGATGCCTGAAAAAGTCGAAAGAAATTCAGGCCAAGTTTGAACTTAAATAAATTTGGCTCGAATACCATAATTATTTTTTTTATTAATAAAATAAAATTAAAAGAAGATTAAAATTAAAAATTTACACTAGATGAGTTTGAAAATAATGGGGTGCAGGAAAACTTTGGAATTTGAATGATTTCTTGATCTTCCTTGTGCTCACTATCACTAGCGTAGAAAACTCTTTGACCAACTCTTTATTTTTTTAAAAAATTATGATATTTTATTATTGTGAGAATTATCATTATGGTTGTATCTTGCATGAGACATTACTTTTAAACATAGATTAATATTTTGATAATTGATACTTCCTCTGTTTTTATATAAAAAAAAAAGTATATCACACAGTTTAAAAAAATTAATTAATCATAATAATTATATTTAAAAATAAAAAAATAAATTTAAATAATCTATTTTAATCAATATAAGCTTGTATTAATTATTTTTTATTAATGTAAATTATAAAAAATGATTTAAAAAATATGTAATAAATTTACATTGAAATAGATAATTTTATTTATATAAAAAAATAAATAAAAAGTGATAGTTTTTATTACAAATATAAAGAGAGGAAGCATATTTTTATTTAAATTATATTATTTTAATTATATTTGGTTTAAATCGGATTTGACCTTTTATTGGATTATTAATTTGTGAACTGATATTTTGACCGATTTTGAATATATTAAAACCGGATAAATTAAAACAAAACACAACAAAACGGCGAGCAACTGCGAGAGAAAGGAACAATTTCTTTGTCAAGCGTTGACGCATTACGAATAAGGAAAGACGGCACATGAATCACGGCGAACGGATGCTATTCAGTCCAGCACAATTTCAGCGCTTCAATTCCGGCAAAGATGGTGAGAGATAAAGGCAGAGAAGATCGAAGTGATCGGAGAAGAAAAGCAATTACAAGATGCGGCGAATCTCGTAATGAGATTTTGGCAATTGGCATTAACACTACCGCTTAGAGCCATGATAAAGGCGGGCGATCAGACGCATAAAGTAGATGCGGCCAATCCTCTCATTTGCCGTGTGAGACTGTGAGCTTGATCGTGGTTGGAGGAGAAAGTTCCGGAGAGGTTAGAAGTAAGTCTGATTGTATTTTTGATTTCCCTCTTATTTCATTCTCGTTGTCTAGATATTTCATTCATGAGGTTCTGAGTTGAACTTGTTTTATGGGGATATTTATTGGTTTAGGATGTGCTCCTCTAGAGACTTCGTAAATCTGAACGATACTCTTTTGATTTATGATATTCAGCTCACTTTGGTTTTTTCCTTTGATGCTCTCAGAACGTTAGTTGTTGTTGATATTGGAGTTTACATCTGAATTGGGATTCTAGATGTTGTAAACGTTTCTTTGAGCCAGAAGTGATTTTTAATATCCTGTTGAGATTTTAGGGAATTTTGAGTTATTATTTAATCATTCAACAATGTGTTTTTAAGCAAAAGCAGAAACAGATTTGGCGTTGCAAACATATCTCGGTATCCTTATCTCCACCTCTGTGTGTGTGTGTGTGTGACTGTGCATCTATATTTGGATTCTAGTTCGTTGGGAATGTATGTGATATACATATACAAATTTTAGATATTGTAATAGGAGAAAGAAAAGGCAAATCGAAAGTCTTCTGGTGATTAAACGCTGCGTAAGTGAGCGTCTTCGATCACTGTACATACACACGCCTATGCAGCAACAATAAAGAATCTATATTTGGATTCCAGTTCATTGGGAATTGATACATGTACAAATTTGCTGTGTGTGAGTGAAGCACTTTGATCAATTTAATCTCCATCATCTTCATGAGATTGCATATGAAGTTTAGAAAAATGCCTTCCTCGTTGCCCCCTCTCTTTTCTCTCCTCTTCTTCGTTTTTTTCCCCCCTGAGGATTTTAATTTAATATTTTCTTGTTTTCAGACGCTTTGCAGCTGCATACCAATTTGCTGTTGAAGAGGAATCAGACATGGCTAATGCAACTCGAAAACCATTAAGGAGCAATCAAGGAAGCCTAAGCAGAAAAGCAGGACTTGCAGATCAAGAAGGTCGAAATTGTCGCACTGTAAATGAAAGAAAGCAGAGGAGGAGGATGAAGAACAGAGAATCTGCTGCGAGGTCAAGAGCTCGCAGGCAAAAATACATGATGGAATTGGAAGCGGAAGTTAACAAGTTGAAAGATGAGAACCAAGAATTTCAGAGGAAACAAGAACACCTGATGGAATTGGAAGCAGAAATTAAAAGATTGAAAGATGAGAACCAAGAAGTTGGGAAGAAGAAACAGGAATTCGCAAGGGAATTAGAAGCAGAAATCAAAAGGTTGAAAGATGAGAACCAAGAAGCTCAGAGGAAGGAGGAGCAGGAATATATGATGGAATTTAAAGCTGAAATTAAAAGGTTGAAAGATGAGAACAGAGAAGTTATGAGGTCCAAGCATGAATACATGATGAAATTGGAGGCAGAAATCAGAATGTTGAAAGATGAGAACCGAGAAGTTCAGAGGTCAAAGCAAGAATATGTGACAGAATTTGGAGCAGAAATTAAAAGGTTAAGAGATGAGAGCCAAGAAGTTCAGAGAGAAAACAAGAGGTTGAAAGATGAGAATCAAGAAGTTTGGAAGTCAAAGCAGGAATATATGATGGAATTTGGGGCAGAAATAAGAAGGTTGAAAGATGAGAACCGAGAACATACAATAGAATTGGAATCAGAAATCATAAGGTTAATAGATGAGAATCAAAAACTTCAAAAGAAGAATCAAGAGAATGAATCTTCCTTTGTTATTGTAAACAAGACAAGGCTTCCAATGAATCATGTACAAGTCAAGCAGGAACCACTAGACTTTCCACCAGACCCAATTTTCTTCTCTCTTGAAGAAGACTGGAAAATATCTGATGAGCTCCTCAGATTATAGGTGTCAAATATTTGGAATAAAAAAAGAAGAAGAAATTGTTTTTAGAATTGTCGTGTTAGATCTTTTGGAAGGCTCTGTTATGTCCTTTTAGTATTTATTCTTATTTTACGTTTTTCTTTTTTGCAACAATAAATGTGATTCTGGTGAATTCCGTTTTAATTAATTCTCGAATAAAAAAGATATATTAGTGTCTTCCAATCTTGCAAATTTCCATGATTTAAGACCAAGATCTTTCTCTTCAATTCTTCTGATTAAAGATGATTTTTTTTTTAATTACAAGATCACGGCAAAACCGTATAAAGAGATTAAAATTTAATCATATCTAAAACTAAGAGAGGTAGAATATCAAAAATCCTAATATTAAATGTATCATGTGATGGTCAATGGGTTAAGAGATCGGCATATCTATTTGTTTTTCTATGAAGAGGATCAAAAGTGATCATTCAATTTCTCATAACAAGTTCTTTAATCTTCATAATAGTGTCAAATAAAAAATGACTCTCAGAGTATGTGCAGTTAATAAATAACAATGCCTCCATCGAATTATAGTGAATATTGACTCTTGGTAATTTTTTATTCCAGCAAAGTTTTAGACCCTCAAAGATTTTCAGTGTTCTACTACTATGCTACGTCGATATCTTAGGTACTTGAAAAATTCTATAATTAAAGATGATTTGATTTTCCTTTCTCTTAGAAAGAATCCCAAAAAAATTTCTTTTATATTAAATGTTAATCTTTCAAATAAAATAAAATTCCATTCGATAAAAATAAAATTCCAAAAAGATTTCCTTTTTTAAAAAAGTAGCATAAAGCATCAAAAAAGTTAACATTTATTTATTTATTATTTTGATAAATAGGGAAAACGCCATAATCTTCATCAGTTAACAGTGAAACCACCTCAGCACAGTCACTCCAGAGTCCAGAGTTCCTCACAAATCTTCCTTTTAAAAAATAATTTATTATCTTCTCTTAAGGAAATAACCATATAAACAGATATCCAAAACATAATAGAGTATGGGTTGAAGTCATACCAAATGCACAGTCAGATCTAACCAACTATCCACCCAGAGACCACACTACGATAGTTCTTTCTAATATGCTCAGCAGATGGATCTTTAAGAGAGAGAGGGACTGAAGAATGAATCCTGAAAAGAGATATTTGTTCTGGGGTGATCTTTAAGAGAGAAAAAGAGCGAAAGAAGAATGAAGAACAAACACTGAAAAATCTTTAATTGAGAGAGAGAGAAAATGAAGAAACAAACACTGGGTGATCTTTGACAGAGAGGGAGGGAAAGAAAATGAACATTGAGAAGAGGTATTTGCTGAGTAGTGAATTGAATTCTCCTTCAACCAACCATCAGTATTTATAATGTGGGAGACTGTCACATAAAAAAAAAAAAATTAATCATCATAAATTCATCTCATAATAAAACGAAAAAATTGCGATTGAATATTTCACATTAATGTAGAGATAAACTTCCCAAATTGAATTCAATCAAGAATTAATTCACAATAAGTTCCTGGTTTCTGGTAAACCTCATTAAACCAAAATATACTGAATTAATATTCATTAATTTGATAACATTACCTGATTCCCATCAAGGATGGATATGTAATCCATACTCATTTTTTACAGCATTGTTTAGGATCTAACACCTCCAAAATTAAAAAAAAAACGTTAATTTTTTAATTAATTTTTTTCTAATCTTTTTTTAATTAAATTTATTTGGAAGAACTCTTCAAAATTATTAGATTAAAATATACTGAGTTTTTTTTTTTTTTCCCCTTTGGTTTTCTGGGTATCCTCACAGTTAGTAGTCATAAGATTAGTCCCTCAAAAAAATTGAGCACTATTTAAAAAAATTTCCTCTACTTTATTTTAATTACGTAATCTTTTTGTTTTTCAAAACTTATATGAACCTCCTCTAAAATTAATATTCACAAAACAAAAACTTACCTTATATTTTTAATATTTCATTTTATACACACAAGCACTAGTTATATGTTAAGTTACATATATTTCGACCAAAAAAATGTTAAGTCACATATATTAAATAAAAATTCCACTATTTAAGATGTTTAAAAATCATTCAAGTTATCCAAAAAAATTTTATGCACATATATTTTACTTTTTAAATTCATGTTTTAATTTTTCTTAGTTATATAACCTTGTTTATATAGTAATTACTTTAAAAATTAGATACATAAGGTGGCTAAAATATCACTTCAAACATTTGGAAAAAATTAATGCAATAGTTGTTTAATATAATCAGAAATAAATTAGCTAGTTAATATAATATACATTTTTGTTTCATTAAATTTATTAATTTAAACACAATGCTTTTAATTATTTATTTACATATTCTCATTTTTAATTATTTAAATTTATTTAAAGTGTGAGGAGAATAGACAATTATATTACAAGGACAAATTAATAATGTTAAATACTTCAAAATTATTACAAATAAAAATGTATGTGGTTATAATCTTTAATAGAATGTCCTAACAATATTAAAAATTATACTGTAGTATAGGTTTTTGAAACCAAAGTTTCTATAACTTTAAGTGCATGTTTGGATAACATTCTAACTTAAGTTAGGATGGCCTAAACCTAGGTTGGGATGTAAAAAGCTCAATTTATCATGTTTGGATAATAAAAAAACATCAACCATAGTTAGGCTCTCAACCAGCGTTCTTAATGAAGCTCGTCAACCCAGCTTTTTCATTGGCGTTCTGGCACTTGGGTGAATTAACGTGGGAGCATTAAATGCTTTTTAAATTTTTATTCTCTCTCCTCATTATCTGCAATCTACCCAAGTCTGTGAGTCCCAAGCCTCCTTCTTCGTTACTGCCGTCCCATGATTGCAGAGTTATCTGAGCTTGCAACTAATGCTTTGAGTTTATGAACGAAGACTGAAATGCTTGAAAGGTGTGATGCAGAAGTTGCTACGTCCAAGCTCCTATGATCCTACAATCTGCACTGTGGGTAGTGCTTCTTTCTCTCTTAGTCTTCTCTCAAGAACCCACAATCTCATGTTCTCGTTTCCTACCAAGAAACCTAATTATTCCCACTCCTGCAATGGCTACTTTTGCTTCATCTACTTCGTCTTTGGCTATGTCGTTTATCAGTAAGAAACCCTTTGCTTTAAGCTCTACTCCGTCGTCTCACTACTTGGCCACTCTAGCTGCTTCTTCGAGAAGTTGCTGCATCTGTAGGTGTGCAGTCAATGATAGGATGCTTTCTCCAGCATGGGTTTGTGGTTAAAGATGGAAGGAATGGGCCAAGAGTTGGGTGGTTGCATTCGAGCTCAGATGGCTCTTCTCTCACTGTTTCTGTACATGAAACTGCAAGCTCAGATAACTCTGTTATCGAAGATTCAGGGGAAGAGGGCAAAAGCACAACTTCATTGCCTTCAATGGTGAACTCACGACAACTCCCTCTCTCACGCCAACGGCCACTAAGAACAGAGAAGGAAGGAGAAAAAAAAGACAGAGATGGAAGATGGTTCCTCAGCTTCTTCACTCTGTTCCCTAGCAATTAGCATTTTTTACGTTTGAAAAGAAAGAGAGAGGAAAGAGAGAGGGGAAAAAATCTAATTAAGGTAGGGGCATAATTATTAATTTTTTGAGGCTAAAAAAATAAAATAAAATAATCAGGACCTGGAACACAAGAACTTACTCCACTAGAGCAACTCTCTTTAGTAAATTTGTATCAAAATACATAATATCATTAAAATGCCTCACCATCAATTTTTTTAATTTTAAATAAATTTCAGGTCAATGCATTTTGGAAATATAGAAGAATAGGTTTGTAATTATATGAAAAATACCCAAATTTAAATGTATGAAGGATTATTCTTAATATAATTAGAGATCAACTTATAAATCATATCAATTAAATATTAATTTTTATTGTTTTCATGGTTGAATATTTAAGATATTTTACTTATTAGTTGTGATTTTAACTTTAATTTTTTTTTATTGATTAGCTAGTCCAAAAAAAATAAACATGCTATTTAAGATTTAATATTAAGACAAAAATTTCATGCTTATTTTTTGCTATTAAATATCTCAACTGACTTTTGAATTAAACCATGCAAACGAATTTCAGTTTATCTGACTGACTTTTTAAAAATAGTATTCAAACATAAATCACGTTACATCAACTGACTTTTTTTCTAACCTCAGTTTTCTAACCTCAGTTGAATCCTAACCTTAGTTGTAAATTTTTTAAATCCAAACACACATTAAAACTAGTACGTAGGCCATGTGACACATGGGCTGTGTAAAAATAAAAAATAATTTTAAGTAAATAATAATACTTAATAGTTATTCAAAATATAAATGTTATTAGGTGAAAGTAAGTTTTAAATTAAACTTTGTAATATTAGCTATAACATTTATGAAGTACAAGGTGGTTTGAAATTAAAAATTATAA